GGACCTGAATGAGCACCATCAAGGAGTAAAACAAAGCTTGCAGCATTCTTTATCAAGTAGATGGTTGTATTATTTCATTTTACTTATTGCATTTTACATTTGCTTTTACTTACTACACAGTTTATTTTCACAGGTGTCCCCTTTTGCACAATTACTGCATGATTTTCCTTCTATATATGGTCTTCTTAGACCGTTACCACTACAAAGGAAAAAGAAAATTTTCATACATAATTTTAAGTGATTTGTTAAATATCTTAAATCATTTGTTGAAGTAAATACACTGAAAATACAATAAATGGCTGATAATTCATTAAAAACATCAGAATAATTTTCCTTCCTTTAATTTTTATTGTTCTGTCCCTGTGAAAGAAAAGAATCTTAAAAAGCTATTATTTTCCTTATGGGAAAATACTCAGGCTTTTTATTCAAATTTTACACTGGTATATGAACTACTAAAACAGAATGTTCTGAATGGAGCTTCGTTTCAACTGAGGTAAAATGAGGATTTGAGAGTGGAAAATTTTAAAGCTGACACACTCCCAAATAGCTTGAAACCAACTATTTAGCAAAAAAAGAAATCTTATGAGCTTCATTCCACAAAACATAAATGTCCAAGAGTAAGTATGCAGTCTCAGTGAAGACACTGGGACCCTTACATGCTTAAGTATTTCATCCAAGCGGAGCCAAAGTTTTTAAGTATAAAGATCAGCCCACAGTACTTACCACTGCACATTCTCAGAAAGGCTCCTTATACATAATAACTGCTGAAAATGATAATGCAGATAACCATCATCCTGGCTGTCTATACTAATGGGAAACACAGTACCCAGTCTCTGCTGCATCCATTCAAAAAGATGAAGCAATGCTAGGTTTCATAGCCTAATCCTGGGAACACAGGGGCAGATTTAGTCCCCTCAAAGGACTGTGGGCTATTATAGTTAGGTTGGTTTGTCACTCTACTCACCTCCATAGTGGGCACTCCTCAAAGCAGATAATTTGCACCAAGACCTGTGATAACATTTTCAGGATTCTAAGTCTGTATTTACACCCTATATCATCTATGTTTATAAAAAAGAGCTACCCACCAGACATACAGATGTAAGGGTTGGTATAATACTGTTGTACAAGTTGGAGGGAGAAGAACACCCCGAAAGACTACCTGCAACTTACTTGCTACTATTCTTCTTTGAAATGTCTTTTATATACATTGTTCACAGGTACACTGTTGGCCTGAGTTTTATCCCAGCAGCATCTATAGTGGCATAATGCAACCACATGCCCCAACATGCAGTCCAGGCAGTGATAAAATGGAATGGGGATCTTCTGATCCCAAGAATTGAACATAGGTTTTGAATTGGTCAGAGAACAGTGGGAAAGTAAGTTGTTAATATATGTCTGTATACATAAATCCCTCAAAAATAAAGTTACAAGTTAAGTAACATATCTTTGGGGTGATTGTCCACATATACATTCACAGCATGCGTGATTCCAAAGAGCAGACCACAGAGTTATCTTAAAAAGGGTCTCAGAACCCAGAATAAGAAAGACTGAAGGACAAAACATTGCTTCTAGAAGTTCTGGCAAGAGCATAATGCCCATAAGGGTGTGAAAGCAGACCCACTTGGTGACCATGCACATTTCAATTGCAGGAATGCAATACAAAGAAGCTACAGATGTTGCCTGAGCTGCAATTCAGGAAGTCTTTCTTGGTATCAAAGGCTTCCACTTTTAAGTGGTAATTACATTACTACTTCACACAGTTCATAATCCACTGTGAAATCCTCTTTGAGAAGACTGATAGAACTCTCAGCCACAGACTGAGAGAGATGAAAGGCCTTGCCTTTTTCTCTGAGAGGCCTTATCTTGTTATTACAAATAAGTAAATCTATCTATCTATTCATCTATTTAAAGATCGGTTAACACCAAGGTTGTAGAGCGCTCCCTCATTGAGAAGGTGTAAGGAATGGGAAAAAAAGCCACAAATTAACTTCTGGAGGGAGAAAAAAACTCACTCTCACAAGGAGCTTCAGGTGGCTTCTGAAGACTATGCTACTTAAATGGAATAAAATATATGAGAGACTATCATATGGGCTTTAAATTTCACTTGTCTTGCTGGTTTAGGCAATAGAAACTAAAAGGCTGTCTCCATGAAAAGTGACATTATTATGTTTTATGTTTTACTCTTAAAGAGTAATCATTTAATTTAATTAATCATTACTACTTTTTCATTTGCTTCTGACAGCTAGCAAGTATTGAGCTGACATTTTCCATGGTTTTATAGGTGACCGCCTTTTCCCCCATGTGTATCACTTCATATTTACTTACAGTGATTTCCATTTACCACTTTATTGACTATCCACTGAGGTGCTCTAACATTTTAACTCCCACAACTTCTTCAGGAGAAATTGAGTCCTAAAAATGGCAGATACAGCCACCTGTCGGGGATTGGATGCCACTTATCTTTCTAAAGAGGTGGTGGAGACCTGGAAGGTCATATTCATGGAAAGGTACAATAACAAAAAGGTAATGAGATGTTATTTGTATTCCCAGCAGCATAGAAGTATCATGGATTATAATTTTTTCTTACAACAGAAGAACTGAGAAGCATCGAGTGAAGTTGGGAAAAGGAGGTAGTTTTTCCACATCTGTTGAAAGCCAGGACACATCTCTTGTTCTGAGGATGCCATGATCTGCCGAACAGGAAAATGGGGATATCCTGTCCCTGCCAATATCCATGACCTCAATGAATCCTTTTTTGATGTGAAAAGGTGAAATGACAGTATTTGCATTCACAGCACTTAAAACTCATGAAGTACAGCTACTACCTGTAAGACAGACTGATAGGAATATCAAAGAAGGTATCTTGCTGTTTAGAGGCATCTTATTCTTTTTAAGAGTGCTGGGATAACCTCAACCACTACAAATCCTAATCTGAAACCGCAAATACAGCTGTTCAAATTCTGTAAGATCTGAATGTGTCATCATAAACTCACAACAGGAAGCAGTTATAAGGTTGTTTGCTCTAAAATAAGTGGAAACTTAACAGCTCCAAAACCAGAACAGGTTATGCCTTCTGCTAATGTAGACTTGTGATAAAGTTTCCTAAAGAGCAGTAAAACAGAAGCATAAATAAGAGCAACTGTCTGAATTGAACTGAATAAATCTTCTCAATGACATCTACGGTCCATCTGTCTCTGATGGTATTTGGTATTTCTAACCACCTTGTAACATAGTCATCCTGGTAATTTTGATATACAGTTTCCAAATGTGTGAGAGAAAACTGAGCATGAAGATGAAGATTCACCTACCAAGAAGAAGGTAGGTAGAAGAGATGAGAAGAACAGCACGACAAACAGAGCCTGGTAGCAAGCATGTGGCAGCTAACTTTAATGATGACAGGACAGGGCACATTCCAAACTACGGTAAGCTTCTCTTTAAACAGGGGGAAGGATAGTCCGGGCATCTCAGACATGGATGGTCCCAGCAGCAGACCTTCAGAAAAGATCTGTAAAAGGGCTACACTATAAAACTGGTACACTGAATAAAGTAATTCTGGTGAGGTGGTCCTTAAATTGGTGCATCCTCAACTCTGAAAAGAAACTGCTATCCTAGCAGGGTAACTGAGCACTAAGGGTCCAAACCTCAAGGAGTCATGAAGGTCAAGTTGGAAAAGGCTGTTCTAGTGTCTGGAGTGTGGTGATGATTGGTGGCAAGGTTAAGGTTTACCTATTTTTCCAGACAGTTTAGGAAGGGAAAAGGCTGTTAGATGATGCTCTGTCTGCTCTAACTCCACTTGTTTCTGTGGTGATGTAGAGATCAGCATTCTTGGTATCAAGCAGTGGACAGAAGAACAATGGCATGTTAGACCTCATCTCAGACAGCTATTCAGCTTAGCTATCCATTCTCCAGGATGTGCAGAACAGCACAGCAAACCAACATGGTATGTTGTTACAAATGAGAAAATTCTCAAGTGACAAGGCTTTACAGACCACTGTGGATGTCAGTCATTATGCTGCACTGGCAACTGGAAACATTTTAGTTCAGATTTTAAAAAGAAAACAACAAAGTTCCATACCCCAGCAAGTTTCAAAATAACATTTCAAGTTCAAGTCCAGTTTTGTGGTACTGGAAGATAGATAGGCAGGGCTCAATGAATTTTTTAGTTCAGGCTAATTTAACTCCCTAGTAGCGGCCCAGGTTTGCTAGAAGAAAAAACAGTTGTCATGCAAGCTCACAAGCTATGTTATGTTTTTAAAATGACAAACAGACTGCATATGCATGTGCTTGATTATGGACTGTGCATTACTATGAGACAAAATATATTATTTTAAAACTATCTGCCTGTTTTCAACCTCCTCCTGCTTTAGGAACAGCACTGGCTGGGGCCTATGTTTTTTTAGAATATGAATTTAAATGTAAAATCACATGTTGCAGTTAGCTTTTTCTTGCATTGATCATTTACTGTTTTCTAATGCTTAAATAGCATTTGGTATAATCACAGCCATTAAAGATGCAAGAAATGATAATGTAATTTTATTTTACTCAGTTACACAGAAAGGAAAAGCAACTAACAACTGTGCTATTACTTCCATCATTTCTAAGGAAAAAAAAATAGTGTAAAAAGCTAAAGTGCAATTGAAAAAATCTATAAAACTGCAAGAGGTAATTCCAGCTCTGACAGCAGTTGCCTGCAGCAACTTTCTCATTGATTCTGTTTCATATGAAAAAAAAAATCAATGAAGTGGAGCATGAGCTAATTCTGGGATTTGTTTGTTTAAGATTAGCACAGAATGAGATTTATCAGTAAAGTTGACAGATTAAAAAGCTAAGCAAGTACATGTTCTAATGCTCATGGCTGTCTTGGTAACTGAATTTGACAACTATTGTTTTCTCCGATTGCATTTACAAGGCTACCAATAAATAAAGAACCCAATTTACTTTCAGCTAAATGTCATTACAATTGCTTTCATTTTTTTATTACATTTGAACCAGCAACTTACCCTGGTGAATAGTTGCAAACAAAATTTACTGCATTTCGTATTCCTGCAACTTCCCTACATAGAGTAACAGCACAGCCTATTTTATATGAATTGTCCCAAACAACCTAAAAAAAAAAAAAGCTTTTAAAAGAAATTAAAAACTACACTCAGCAGTAACCTAGTCTAATATCTAGAAAGTTTCCGTTATTTTCAGAGAGCCTACATATTACTTTCATTTGCAGCATCTGACCTTTTTATGCATTTAAAAAAATTGCTGGTAAGCAAGCTTTTTAAGATGAACTTCTAAATATTCACCCCTCAAGATGAAGTGACCTATGCTGCAAGTTTCCACAATCTTCTACAGGACAAGTTCAGTAAGAGTCACTGACTTCATGATCCAGGGATAGATTCCATGGAACAAAAGGGAAATTAGTGGCAACTACCCAAAAGCTCCTTAATTTGAACATTCATAACTTAGGTCTGCAAGAAGAGCTTCTCCTGTTGCGCTAGAAGTGGTATGGCTGATAACTACTGTAAACTTAAGTCTGAAAGCTTTACCACTGCGCATTGTCAGACTAATGAGTGTTATCTGCCATACTTAAGAGAAGATGGTTTACTAACACTTACAGCTTGGGCATCTGCTTTTTCTTGGGAGCTTCTTCCTATACCTTCTGCATATGACTAACCAGACAGTATTGAATTCAGGTAAAAATGTTTAACTATATACCTAGAACATCCGGATGATCATACATTCCACTGCTGGAAAATTTAAAGACATAGGGGATTACTCTTGGTATCTCCCCAGTACAAAAAGTACAGGTCTCAGACCAACAGACTGATTTGAACATCCCTCAAAGTTCCACCTCTTCAACTGTAACTGCAAGAAGTGGTTATCTTCAACAGACATAACCTTTCTTCAAAAAGGACCTTAATGTTTAATGTGGTGTTACCTGAATCCTGGATTAAGGACTAAGCATTTCAGGGGCCTTTATGTAACAGCTTCACATAGCTTTTTGAGATTTCCACCATTTTGAGATTTCTGTGTCATGGTTCTCTTAGCAGGTCTACACAGCCTATCCGTTTATGATTTGTAAATTTTACCCTTTTTCAATTTTGTGTCTGAGCCTTCAAGTCCATCATGGCTCCTGGATAATGCATGGCCTTTGATTATCAATTTGGATGACATAGGTACTTTTACATGTTCACTGGTGTTTAACCCTGTTGTGGTTTCAGCTGGGATTGAGGTAATTGTATTCCTAGTAGGTGGTACAGTGCTGTGTTTTGAGTTCAGTATGAGAAGAATGCTGATAACACTGATGTTTTCAGTTGTTGCTCAGTAGTGTTTAGTCTAAAGTCAAGGATTTTTCAGCTTCTCGTGCCCAGCCAGCGAGAAAGCTGGAGGGGCACAAGAAGTTGGGAGGGGACACGGCCAGGACAGCTGACCCAAACTGGCCAAAGGGACATTCCATACCATGTGACGTCATGCCCAGTATATAAACTGGGGGGAGTGGGGACGGGGGGAATTGCCGCTCAGGGAATAACTGGGCATCGATCAGCGGGTGGTGAGCAATTGCACTGTGCATCATTTGTATCTTCCCGTCCTTTTATCATTACTGCTGTCACTTTATTAGTGTTATAATTATCATTATTAGTTTCTTCTTTTCTGTTCTACTAAACCGTTCTTATCTCAACCCACGAGTTTTACTTCTCTTCCCGATTTTCTCCCCCATCCCACTGGGTGGGGAGTGAGTGAGCGGCTGCGTAGTGCTTAGTTGCTGGCTGGGGTTAAACCACGACAAACCCTTTTTAACTCTACTTGCTTTCTTCCAGTGATTAGTTTCCTTTGTAATTCTGCCTGAAATACTGCCTGAAATGCATGAACATTTTGATACTACTTAACAATGTGTAACAAGAAAGGAGCAAGCAACATTAATCAGGGGAAAGAAAAGCTTAGAAGTGAACATCACCCCAAGAAAAAAGTGCAAGAAGCTCCAGAATTCTGTGTAGACAAGGCTGAACACCAAATCTTAAAATGCTAGGAACTACCTTGCTACGTAAATTTTTTTTTTTAATTTACTGTGCCAGAGAAAAAATGAAAAATATTTTCCAAAGATATTGTCTAGTTCTGATCTTCTAAAGATTTACTGCCCAATGAACAGCAAAACTTCAATCCTCCAGCCTTGCTTTTGAGTTTGTTACAGGCAGAACCAGGGGCACGAAACAAGAATTAACACTTGAGGGGAAAGAAGTGAGAAAAGACATAAAAGAGGTACAAAAAGACCCAAACAAAAATGCTTTGTAAATGATTCTGGTAACTTTCATCAAAGTATTAATGAAATATTTCATTAAAGTATTTTCATTTCACAATCCAAAGTCTACTCAAAAAGAACCTCGCAGCTACTGTTGTGTCCGGTAACAGTTTCACACTAAGTATACTGCACAGTATTATCAACTGTAATTTGCATAGAGAGCAATCTAAGCATCTCTGAACACTGAGATAAGAATTTAAAGAGTCACTTTTACTAGATAAGATCTACCTGACATTAAAATTATCATCTGTTTCAGATCAGTGAAATATTATGTGTTTGCTCATAGATGAAACTAATTCTACTGCAAAGCTTGTTTTTTAAAGATGGGAATGAATAAATCCATTTAAAATATTAAGTGTTCTAAGAAAATCTTTACTTTCTCAGCAGAATTAAGTTTGTCAGAATTACCACTGAGAAATCAGAAATATATCATAAATTGCCTCTTTTGTTGTTGATGCTCTTTTTTCCCCCTTCCTTTTTTACAAGATTTGTAAAGAATACAATTTACTTTGGCTGGATTTTGTCCTTCTGGTAACATTTCTATGAAGGAGTACCCACAGACATTCTGCAATTACTGTGATTACTTCGAACAGCATCTCCAAACTTAAGAGAATTCAGAACTGTGTGGCTTCGCAGCTAGAGAACTTGAAGTTCATGTAGTACTGATACAATGAAACGAGGAGCGAGGCTTTCAGTGAGGCCAATATTGTGGACATGAAGAATGGATTATTATACAAGACAAAGAGGTGAACCAGCAGGGTTAACCAGCAGTACAGCCATTGCTTGAGATTACAAAAGACAGTAAACTGCCAGTCACTACAAACCACATATACAACCCTGTATTATTTACAGCCCCTACTGATTCAACTAGTAGGCACTATACAGGATATTTAACCAAAGATAACTCTTACCTGAATGTAATGACCGCAAACCTTACTACATTTCTGCACTGCAAAAATATAGAATCTGACTTCATTATACCACGATTTAATGGCATCAGCAACATGGAATGCTTGATGACTTCCAACCCAAATATTCTCTCCAATAGATGTGAAATTAGGATGGCACTGATGTTTCTGACTTAAGTACACATTATGTTCAAAAATGCATTTATTTGCCCATGCCCTTGCAGTCCTTGCCAAAGCTGCATCCCAAGTCTGCAAAACATGAAAGGTGAAATACTTGTGCAATGTTAACTTACAACCAGATCATAAACAATCAGACAAAACCGGTCAGGCAGTAAAGTACAGATAGATATCATATGCTGGAGTTTCATAAAGAAATCCTTTCCCTTATTTAGGCAAGTACCCATGTTTTAGTTTCATTGACTTTTCCTGTTGCAGCACAGAAATATGAACTAATTTCATTAGACGAGTTTGTTTTCCCCCTTCACTGTTGAACATTAACTTTATAAGAGCACTTGATAGCAACTGAAAAGATGTTTGAAATACACTTTTATCTTCAGATAAGAAATTACTGTCACATTAATTAAACATTAAACTTTTTTTGGTAATTTTTTTGTTGAACAGGTCACTAAGGATTTCTATTTGGTACATAAAAATTAATTCAAAGAAAAAATGCACAGCTACTATAGATTCAGATGTATAAATATTTTAAGTATTTTTAAGAGAGCCCCAAGAAACAAATATTTACTCCTCCTACGATCATTTTACAAAGGCAGCGTCATGAGGTAAACATGCCAATGTTTGGCCAGTAACTCATTCTGCTACCTCTTACTTCTTTGCAGTCTGCCACCATTAACAAAACTTCTGATTCCTGAACATGAACAATCTTTGGTATTTGTCTACCAGTCATGATTGTTTTTCAGCATGTTTCCTCTACCATTAAAGTACCTAGTTTTATGTCTTATGTAAAAGATCCTGTGTCTTATTGCCTAGGTTTATTGGTGTTCGTACATTCCAGTTCACTCTCAGTCTCTATGGCTGCCAATACGGTTTTCTCCCTAAGGCCTTTTTTTTTTTCTAACCATATTTCTACATGCATACCTTTATTCATAATTTTTCCTGGTTTCCCTATTCCTGAGTACTAAAACTGGGTCTGGTGTCTTTCAGAAGCTTCTTCACTTCCAGGGTCATACCCCCATACCTGCCATTCTGGCTGCAAACCCACCCAAGCAAATGGCATTCTTTGCCATCAGTATCCCAGCACAGCACGAGCCTTCCTCAGGGTACTCATCCTTTAGCTGCTCATTGCTCACAACATTTTCCTCTTGAGATATATAGTGGACTAAACATCAAAGATCCGCTTTTTCTGCATCTTCTTCAGCTTTGCTTAACCCTTTCCAGCAAAAATTTTCACATGCAATTTGTTTTGGTTATGACAAGCAAAGATTCTTCCTTGCCACCAGAAATCCCCTTCAGCCCCAGGACTGCAGTTCATATCCTTGCTTTTGATGGAGAGCCTAACTCTTCTGGATCAGTCCTGCTGCTGGACCACTGCTTCTTCCTAAGCAGAAATTCCTTGGGGTGAATTGTGAACATCATCGGCTGGCCTGTGTCACTGCATCACGCCTGCTGTTCCCAGACTCACCTGTCTACAACTGACTTGACTCATTACCATATTTCCTATCAAATAAACGCCACCCTGGTCGCCTCACCCGGGGACTACCGAGAGACCCCCGGCCCACCCTCCCACTCCCCCCGGCGGGGCTCTGGAGCCACCCGCGCCCCCCCCGGGCCTGTCCCTACCATGTACCGCATGCTGCTGGCGGCCGGCTGGACTTTGGCGCGGAGCTCGTTGTGGACGTGCACGCAGGCCTCGATGAAGGCCTGATCCACGATGGTCGGTAAGGCGGGCGACCGCCCAGCTGCAGCCCTCAGCACCTCCCACAAGGCCAGTACCGCCACCCACGGCCTCATGGCCCCCAGCTGCCGGGGTCTTGCGTGAGGGGTCCCTGCCCTGCACACACCCC